TACCTGGCTGTATCTATGAAACAGGGCTCCTGCGGTGCTGCTTGCGATGTGCTGTTTCGGATTCATTGTGTTCAAGGCACAAAAGCACTACAGAAGGCGCCGATGCCGTCTTGAATGCTTCTGACTTCGAAATATGTGTCGGGGGACAGGCGACGGATGCGAGCGCCGGTACCCTACACGGCTGTAACCGTTGATGCTCTGGTATTTTTGCCTTGTGGTATGTTGTATTGGATTTCGGGCTCATGGCTTGAGTTCCGCTTCGGCTTTGATCCGAAAACTGACAGGGCTTTGCATATTGGAGCTTGACGCTTCGTAAGCTTCAGCCCCAGACCCAAACCACCTACATGCCTGGCTCATGCTCAAACTCCACCGGGGTCCCTGCTTCCCCTTACCTTTGGTTAGTAGAGAATGGAGGAATGGGGTATTCTTATAAGTACTACTACTACCATTCTTCCATTCCCTACTAACCAACGGTAAGTCCCTTTCGGAATGCTTCGGATGCCTGGATGAGCTGCGCCTTCAGCCGATGCACCTCCAAGAGCAGCTCCGAGTTTTCCTGCTGTTGATGATATAAATCCTGCACTACCTTAAGGACCCTAAACTATGGGAATTATGGTATATTCCTTATTATGGGTAATGCAGGGTTTATATCATCAACCGTACTAATGGGGTTGAGGGGTTTGGGGGGGTCAAGGCTTGAAGTTTAGGGTATGAGGATGTAAGGCCTAGTGCTAGTGGTTTGTTTTATGCCCTCTTTTCCTTTAGCAGTTAGCGTGCAGAAAACCAGCTTCTAATGTTGTTCCTTCCGCCGGATCCCGTCATCTTCCCGGTAGAAACCATCCCTGGGTCTTTCTCGACCTCCGGCAGAACAAGCCACGTCCTGGAATGCGACGACTGGATAAGTCGAAAAATCAAGTTGAAGGTTGGCCCCATGCCTTTCGCCCCACAACCCCCACTCCCCTGGCAGAACCGAACCCTGAACCTGAGAGCCCGAATGTCCTCAAACCTGATGGCTGCTACTGTCATTATTATCATAATTTTTGTTATCGTTCTTACCAAAACTATATAATTATTACTATTACAAATAGAATTCGCAAGTTCAACATATTTTTAAGTATCACGCGTATGATTCGTATTTTTCCTTTTTCCCCATTTTTTCCTTTTCCTCCTCTCACCCACACCCAAGGGCTCCCCACGAGGAGCCTTCCCAAGGCGCTCCTGGCTCGGTGGCCAAAGCAAGGCTACAGGCAAGGTTCAGAGAGCCCAATACCCCTTGATTAGGGAATATAGCTTAAATCGTAAGGGCATTGATATTATGATTTAAGTTATATTCCTTAATTAAGGGGTATTGGGCTCTCTAAGGGGTTCAGGGGGTTGTGGGGTTGGGGGGTTGAGGGTTTGGGGGGGTTTAGGGTTCAGGGGTTTAGGGTTTAAGAGTTAGCTTTTTTTGTAAAGGGCTCCTGCTCGTCTGGATCTCGGGCTTAGGATTTAGGGTTCACGGGTTTGAGGGGTTTAGGGCTTATAATATGAGGGTTTTTCCAGGTTTTTGAATTGTGTTGTTGTTAGTTAGGATTTGGGTTGAGGGCTCGAGGGGGGCCTCCGGCTGTTTGTAGCCTCGTCTTCTGGGTTTAGTAAAATAATAATAATAATAATACTAATACTAACGATAATAATAATACGAATAGTAAAAACAATAATAAAAATAGTTATATACAAATTTATATGGGGCTTTGAGATCTGGGGCCCACGGCTTCTTGTTCTAGGCTTTAGAAGTTAGAGATGCGAGCTGCAGGATTGCCATGTCTTCGACTCCGGCCCCCGAAAAGTTCATGGACCAGGTCTCCTTACCAGGGGCTCCTATCCAAAGGAGTTCGGAGGTCTCTGAGCCTTGAGCCTCGAGGGACAAAAGCCGCGGGATCCATAGAAACGCAGGCTGCGCTGCAGCGCCGCGAGCCTGTGTCCCTTCGGCAGCTCTTAGCGTAAATGAGCCCTTCCGAACTCTAGCATCTGCAAAGAGAGGCCTACAAAATACCGTGGAAATTCCAGAACCTAAATCCTGAAGACTCCGACGACGCATGGCATGAGGTCTATTTGCCTCAGGATGAAAAGATGCGAGATCAAAGAGCCCGGAGCCAAATGCTCTGTGCTTACTGTAGGGAAAGGTGAAAGTCGCGGAGGCCAAGAAAACAAGCAGCCACAGCAGGAATTACTATTATGGTTGAGGGATGTATTCCCCATATGCGTCTTTAAGAACTTGCGAAAACCGCTTAACCTCCTAAACCCGCCTCAAACCACTACACGACTCCCGAAAAGAGCCCTTCTGCACCCGACCTTGGCTTTCAAAAGGCCGAAGAAGTCGCTCTCCGCTTCCTGGCTCTGGCGGGATGTCGGTGTGTGTTTGGAATTCGGGGCCTTGGGCTTAGGGTTTTTTTTAGGGCTTAGGGGACCTTAGGGCCGTCTCAGGATGCCTTGGGGCTGGAGATGTGGCTTCAGGGCAGCCAGGTAACGGAGGAGGGTCGAGCCTTCAATCCTCAACCCAGGGCTGATGGCCTGGAAGCCTTGTGGAATTAAATACTGCTGATGGACAAAAAACTTCACTACCGTTTATAAGGAATATACCATAGTTCCCATAGTTTAGAGTCCTTAGGGGCATGCAGGATTTTGTCCATCAACAGTATCAGCTCGCACACAAGCTCGACATCTACAAAGACTTCGAAAGCCGCTGCAGATGGACATGTAGCGTGAATTCCCATAAAGTTTCTCTTCAACCAGCTGTCCCGTTGCAACGATGAACAGTCTCTCTAACATTGGTTACACAGCCAGTACTGCTTCTGCCAATATTGTGAAGATGCAAGTTCAGATTCTGAATATGCTGTTACGACTATTCTGATGAATCCTGGGAGTGTTGTTGACAACTGTTCATGAGACTGCTATGACGAATATTCACGAAGCTCTTCTGATGATACCAATGAAACTGTTACAGCATCATGGTCTGCTTATCGAACTGTTGTGATGGTTATACTCCCGTTGCCTCTTGCAGCTCGGCCGGCTCCATTATGTGCCTCCGCTTGAAAGGTTCCGGAGTGAGGAGGATGTTGTGAAGGATGCGGAAGATTCAGGGATAAGGCATCATGCTGTTCATGGTGCGGTGATCAAGAGAATTCGTTAGGGCGAGGAGGAGCTCAACAACAAAGAGGATGGAGCTGCAATTGAAGATGCCAATGATGATGACCATGATGACAGTGATGGTGATGATGATAACGGTTCTGTCAACGCTGATGATGATGGTGATGGTGATAATGATGATGACGATGACGATGATGAGGATGAGGGTGATGGTGATGAGGATGAGGGTGATGATGACGACGACGATGAGGAGGAGGATTAGGATTAAGATGAGGATGGGATGAGGATGAGGATGAGGATAATGGGGATGATATGGTGACGATGGTGATGATGGTGATGATGGTGATGATGGTGACAATGACGGTAGTTTTGATGCCGGTTGGGACGGCGATGATGGTGGCCTTGATGGCGGAGGAGCAGGAGGAGGAGGAGGAGGAGGAGGAGGAGGAGGAGGAGGAGAAAGAGGACGACAACGACGACGATACTGCTGATGGGCATAATGCCAGGAGCAATGTGCCCTGTCGTGAAATGCTTCTTCCCTCTATAGGCTTCAGAACTCTTTCCAACCAGTATACAGAAGCTTCGGGGCGCAGGGCTGCCTGCCTGTAATCCATCGAGGCTCCGAAATCGCCGGTCATGGCGATAGGTTCCAGTGGAGCCGCCATGGAGCGAACATCCAAATCTATTCACATGGTGTGGTCGTTTTAGGCAACCCTGCGAAGCAGATCGCTCTGCTCGAACTCATGCTGTTGACGGCCAACACAAGCTGGATGTCGTGTAGCAAGGATGAGCATCCCAGAAAGACTCTTGTCCTGGAGTTTCACGGGCCGAAAACCAGTCAAAGATACCGTAGCAGAGGAGTCATGTTTCTTGCAAACCACATTCCGGATAGTGTCGGTGTCTTGACTCTCAGACTGCTTGGGCTCATGGCAGAGCTTCAGCTCCCCCCATCCCCCTTTGCCCACGTGTTTTGCTTCACCATGCGCACTTCTCCGCACCCTCAGTTCGCGTAGATCCCAGTCGCGCCTGGTTTCGAGGGAGCGGCAGGTGGGAGTGGTTACTTAAACTCCGGGTACTGCCGCAATTCCGCAATTGCACGCCAGCTCGTCCAAGCTCCTCACTTGCTCTTCACATCTGCGAGGAGCCGCGGCAGGGCATCTGTTGCACCGCCTGGGGACAAGGCGAAGTCCTCGAGACCAATACTATCGAATTGCATGCAAAGTGTTTTAAGTTCTGCGGCCCACCAAAAGCACTCCTGCAAATGCGCCAGGGTCCAGACACTGCCAGCAGGATCGGACCAAGGTGTCGCAGTCAAGCGCGGTCCATTTCACTCCTGGCCACGGCGCAGCTCTTCGAACTCTTCTTGTTCTTAATTCTTCTTGTGCATAGCTGCTGGTGTTGCTATCTTCGGCTCTTTTGCTCATTGTAGCTACCATTGCCCCCAATACCAGTCGACCTGTCAAAAAGCCAAGCGATTTGCCCAGAAGAAACCGACTCGCAGAGGCTCAAGGCTTCGGCCTTCGTTCTGCATCAGGCGAAAGACATCGAGGCCCTGGCGGAGAAGGAAACCCAAAAGAGAGTTTTGGCTATTCTACAGGTAGGTTGCAGGTGTAGAGCCTTGGACCCAAGCACTCAAGCAGTAAGCAAATCCAAAACCCTACCTCGAAAGCTTCATGACCTGGCAGTTGACCCATAAAGCCCCAGAGCTTCTTGGCCCACCCTCTGCCAGCCATTCGCCGCGTGAGCGTCGAGCATGGAGTGGTACGTGATGACGCTGGGCCTTCGGGCTCGAACTTCGAAGATCTTGCGGGTTTGGAGCTTGGCGCCTTTTTGCCAGGAGCGGGTTCGTCCCTTACTCTGTTGCCATCCGGAATTCACTGGCCAGTTCTGAATGCCTCCTCTTTGCAGTTCGCATGCAGCCACTGCTTCCACCCGCAAGGAGCATGCCAGTCCCACTCTATTCCAGGAGACGCCAGGCTCTTTGCTTCCGACCTCTGTGCCACATGCCGCATCTCTGCCAGCAGTTCACGGGCATCCTTCCAGATGCCGCCTGCAGGGACTTTGCTTGGATTTGCGTGGCTCAGGGATCTGTATGTTAGGGGCTTGGCCGCTTAGACATCAAGGGCTTTCGGGCCCAGGCAATTTCGGCTTGCAGGGTGGGTTGAAAGGAAAGATGGAATGTGCCTCTGACCTTCAGTCAACCTGTAAACCCTCCGCCGAAACACTGAATTCAAGCTGAAACCGCTCGTTGTTCCGCTTCGGGTGCAACTCCCAGGACATCAGTCACGGCACCTGCGCCACAGGCATCCACAGCCGCGGTGTAGCTGACAAGGTTGTGCTGAAACCTGGAGAGGAGAAGGACGGCGACGACGATGATCATGATGACAATGATGAGGGTGTCGATGAGATAACGATGATGACGATGCTGACGATGATTATGATGATGATCACCATCATCATCATGGTGACGGTGCTGACGACGATGGTGATGACGATGGTGGTGATGATGATGATGATGAGGAGGAGGATGATGATGAGGATCATTAGTATGGTGGCTATGATGATGATGGTGATGTTAATGAGGATGAAGATGAGCACGAGGATGAGATGACAAGAGCAACAATAATCCGACAGCCTTGCCAAAACAATGCTTATGCTACTCGTGGTATTCACTCCAGCAGCAGTAGCAGCAGCAGCAGGAAGAGGCAAAAGCCTCGGAAACGAGAACTCACGAACAAAGACTGAAGAAACAGTCCTTTTTGCTGGAAACAAACAAAAATGGGAATCGCAAGGACAAACATAACACTCATAATGGCAAAACATCACAAATAACAACTCATATTCGTTGTAAGACTGACGATAATGAAAACAGCAATCGTAACGGACTGCAAGAGGGGGATTCTTGAAACTAGGGCTCCTTCGGGGTGTCCAAAAGCAAATCTCACTTCCATAATGACGACGATGATGCAGGGATCTCTTTTTCGGAGAACTGCCCGAATGATGATGACAATACTACCAGAGTAAACCTCATTCTGACGAAAATCGTCATGAGGGACACAGTAATGAGGAGTGAAATGACAGTAGTACTGACAGTAGTAGTTCCAGCATGCCTACGATCACTAACATTTAAACTTAAACGCAAAGCAACCAAGAATAAATACCAACGCCACATCGACGTTGATGGTATCCGGCTGTAGGTTTACGGTTGACAGTAAGCCCTGGACCCCCAATGTAGAGGCCGCAATTATTACCAATGTTCCCGTTTTCCAACTATGAAGACCCTTGTATGATAGAACCCTTTAAGTAACCCTTCTAGGACCTTTTGACGGAACCCTATTCAAACTATCAAGGCCCCTTTCTGCCCACCAGAGCCGACACCTCGCAGCGATGGCAAGGCGTAGCAGGCGGAAGGAGCGGCTCCACTGCCCGCCTGTGCCACAGGGGTGCTGGGTTTGCGGGTTTAGCGTGCTGCAGATTACGGGTTTAGGATTTATGGGGCTCGAAGTTTAGGATGTATGGTTTCGGAATTAGGGCTCTTTCTGTGTTCCATGCCGGCTGCTTCGCACAATGCCCAAAGTCTCGCGCGCATGGCCTAATTATATCTCTCCCCGGAGCTGAGGCGCATGTTTCTGGAGTTCACAGCCGCAGAGTGCGCCTTTCTCCATGGAAGTGGCGGCGGCGCTTAGCATCGTCAAGTCCGGCTCAATCCCCCCCTCCGCACCTGGGAGGGCCACTCCTTCCGTTGTTTTACTACCGCTACTCATGCACAGACCTTCACTCATACCATGCTCTCTGGCTGCAAGTAGACGCTCTATATGTGTGTGTATATATATATATATGTATATACATACATGTGTGTATATATATATATATACATATATACATATACACATATACACACACATATATATATATATATATATATACATGTGTATATATATATATACATGTATATATATATATATATACATATACAGAACACGTCAAAATACGGGATATATATATATATATATATATCGTATCATTTATCGCAATGCATTCCTTTATAGACATTCCCTTCATTGGTTCTTGTCCTTACTTGCTTACTTTTTGTTGGTGCTGCCTGATAGTTATACATTCTTGTTTACATGTGAGCCGTTTGCATCCGTACGATGCTGCTGTGAGTAAACAACTGAAATCAGCATGATCATCACAAATAGATGATATGCATCTCTACTGAAGATTCGCAACTAATGGTCACCAGCCCTATCAGTGAAACTATCACCACGTTCTCTTCCTTCTTCGCCGTGACTGCACTGTCCTTTTGCTGAACACTCTGAGGCATTGGCGGCACTCGGTAGACAGCTTCTGTCCTTCCCCTTCATGACCCTTGAAACTAAACTCAAGAACCACAATCTGCTACACCTCTCCCCGCCGAGGTGGCGGCCCACCTGCAAATTCTCAAAGATCATGGCAGTCACCTGGCAGTTCGGGGCTTCAGGGCTTTGCGTTGAAGGGCTTGAACCTTGTGGTTCCGAGCTGGGTCAGAGGAAGGGCTGTGGAGACTCTCGATAGTAGGGGAATCCCGGACTGAGAGGGATCAGCAGCAAGCAGTAGAGTCCGGGCTTTGGATCCAAATGTAATCCACATTTTGTCTCACAACGACCACCACTATCTAACCGCCAACACCACCAACATGACCGTGTAGTTGCTGCTGCCGACTGGTCCAGCTGGTAGAATTGCTACTGTTGCGGCTGATTCTGCCCAAGAATTGCGGAACCTGCTGTCCTTGCACGAAACATGTTGCTGCTGCTGGCTTATCTGCATCTTGATAGCCATTGCTGCTACAATTTGCTCGAAGCGCTTTAGATTCACCAAGCCCTATGTTCGCCCAAGCTTCCCTCAGTCTTATTGTTGCGTTTAGAGCTTGTTGTACTAGTCTCGCACAAAGACACCCCCACTTGTACAGTCAATACTCCTCATGCACTCATCCAGACCCCTGTATAGATCCTCTGTGTAGGAAACAGTTCTAAAAAACCTGGGCTCAAACCCCTCGCAGCCCACCTTCCATTGCTGATCTGTCTGACAGCTGGAAAAGGCCGCAGTGGCGCTGTCGACGTCGGGGCGCAGGCCGCTCTGCCGAGCATGGCCTAAGACGGCGCCGGGCTCGGTCGCAGGAAGAATCAGAATCTGAAGAGCAGCCAGAGTATCAGAAAACAATGCAGATGCTGGTGCTACTAACCACTAGCATCACCATGATTATCTTCACAGCTATCGCTGCCGCAAAGATTTGGTAGTGCTGAGCTGGCACCTGGCAATTAAGATGAGCGTCACAAACGAAATAACATGGATTTGTGCTGAAATTTGGGACTCTATCAGCCATCGGCTCGTCCCGCGAAGAGAGTCCCCCCCCCCTGCGCACGAGGTTAGAAGAATCCCAGACCTGATCCTACATATCTGGAAAGTCCCCGTGCACCAAGCCCTGTGATAAACCGCATCCTGCCAGATAAACCTGAAATCTGAGCCGCAGCACGAAATCTGTTTACCAGAAACTCCAAGTTTTCTCGCTCTCCGGCGACATCAAGATCCGCACCAGATTTGTATCGAAGCGCTTGGGTGCGGATGCGCGGTGCTGCCCTCCAAAATATATATATGGAGGGTCCTAGAGGTCAGATTAGGGTGTTTGTGTGTACTCTACTATACTCTACTATACTATACTATACTATACTATACTACTAATACAAAGAGTAGCCTACTACTGTACTTTACTATACCATTCTATACTACCAGGCCCCCCGGCCGAGCAATACCAGGCCCCAGTGCCAGAGATGGTCTTGGTGGAGCGCTGAAGCGGGGTTTGGGGCTTTGAGGCTTTAGGGCTTCGGGGTTTAAGGCTTCGGGGTTTGAGGCTTCGAGCTTTCGGGGTTTGAGGGTTTAGGGTTTCAGGCTTTAGGGTTTTGAGAGTTTAGGGTTACAGGCTTTAGGGCTTTGAGGGTTTAGAGTTTCGGGCTTTAGTGCTTAAAACCCCCTGTGTCAGATCCTCAAGCCCAGACACAACCAAGCCGTGAACCCCACATCCTCAACTCCTGGCTCTGGGCACTGATCCGCCTTTGCTACGAGCTGTGCGTTTAAGTCACTGCTGTCATCAACTCAACTCCGTGTTTCCCGCTTCCCTCGGCTCTGGGTGCAGCTCTGCGGAGGCAGGAGGTCGTTATGCAGTTGCACCTCTGCAGGGAGAGACCTCAGCAGGCCGTTGGGAATTCGGGTTCTCTGTAATGCCAAAGTGCAGAACTCGGTGGGCTTCAAGCTGACATCGGAAACGAAGATTGCGGAAGTCCAACGCACATTCAAGACAGGCTTCAGTGGCGTAAGCTCTGCCGGCAGTTGTAGAATAGTGGGTTCGTGGGAACTACTTTAGGACTCTTGGGTTCTACGGTTTATGTCGCAGTTTGTACAGTTTTACAGGGTGCGCAGGACGGTTTGGGACAGTTGCTTCGTCAGCCCCAGAAACTGCAAGCTTCCAGCCAGTCATCTCAAATCGCTCTGCCCGCCGTACCTGGGCACCACTTGCATGCAGGGTTTACAAATCGCACGGCACCACGACCACCTGAAAGAAGATTTATGCTACCGCCTTCAGAGCTGCCACCGCTGCCTGGCCGTTGCCAATACTCATAATGCTGCTGCTGCTGGCAGCTGGCAAGCCACACAAGGTCCGACCCGCATTGTGAAGTTGACACTCCAGTGGCACGACACAGCACCGAAACACATACCGGTGCCACAGATGCAGGACATACACCCGAAAAACATGTGTTCAGCAAGCACTTTCAAGACTTACCCAAGTCAACGGCATGAATCCATCATCTTCCACGCTATCAGTGAAGACTCTGCACAAGAACTGGGCATAGGTACTGGAATCAAAATGGCTATACTTTTGGGCAGGCCTGACATTAAAGTGTCTAGCAGACGAAGACTAAGAGGGTGAGGTAAACCAGAAGTAATGTATGAAAGCCAACATGTGTGGCGGGTGCGATACGCTATGGTTGTAAACGCAGTGAAGATGTTCGCGTGAGGATCGCAAATGGCAGCAGTACGACTTCGTGTACATAGGCCAGACCTGTCTGGTTGTCAGCAATATGGACACACTTGCGTGCTCCTTGCTGCCCACTTGTAGCGTTCGTATCGGCATCGACATCAGTGCCAGTATTGCTACGTTCGCCCTTGGGTTTGGTACTGCCTATACGGCAAAGAAACATCGACCACTGCGACTGTCACTATCCTTATTACCACACTCTGCACTGTTTGTCGTGTCTTCTTGTTCTTGCCACCGACTCGAGCCCTGAGTCCCCTCCCTGAACCCTACAAAAACCTGTAAAATAGTGGTTTTGGGGCCCCTTATACTGTCATCAGAATAAGGAACAATGAATTTGGGGCCCATTCTACAATAGTCATAATAAGGAACCCCCAAACATAGCATTAGTAATTATTTACGCTCCTCTATTAGTGGTTCTTGGTTGTTGCATCCCGGCCAAGGTGCCATCTGCAACGCCGGCTCCCAGGCAGAAGCCTCGAGCAGCAAGGAAAGACAAAGAAGGAGCCCTCCCCTTTAACCTTCGGGGAAGTAGCGCTTAGGGGTTTAGGGTTCACTGTTTTAGGGTTGAGGGTTTAGGGTTTTAGGGTTTCGGGTGATAAGGGGGCTAAGGCCTAAGGCAAGGGGGATTGGGGCTTTGAGAAGCAGAGGTCGAGGGTGTCAAGTTGCCTAATATTGCCATTTTCGGCAGCCTAGACACATCGACGGCTAAGCCTACCTTTGGTTAGTAGGGAATGGAAGAATGGTAGTAATAGCAGTTATACTTGTGCCCCATTCCTCCATTCCCTACTCACCAAAGGTAAGTAAGGGTTTAGCACAGTCAAGTGCGTTTCGACGGGTCAGGTGGGGCTTTGGCAACAAAATCAACTCAAGACTTTTACTTTTACGGGAACGAACACATGCTTCGAGAAATCCGGAACTCGAGGAACGAAATGGAGAGCCCATGGATCCAAAACTCTAGACCCCAAATCAATGCAAATTCCACGCCTCGAAGTAAGCTGAAGCAAGCTACCCCGCCTCTGCACAGCTCTGAATCGCAGCATCGAGCATTCCCGAGGTCCTGGCACTGAGGAATGAAGTCTGAGTGGGTTTGCATGCACCATGACCCCTAGAGACTTGCAGGCATCATGTACTTGCCCTTGAACCGAAACCTGCAACCCAAGCCCTCAATGAACATACAAGTGTCGAAACAAGTCCTGTCGCGCACGTGCCGTTGCATCACCGGCCTGGCAAGTACGACTCTCAGCGTCAACCAACACTATCCATCACAGACTCCTATACGCTGCTAATCGCCACTATATAGATACACAGACATGTGTACATCTATACATATATGCATATATACATATATACATATATACATATATACATATACACATATATACATAAATACATATATACATAAATACATATATACATATATACATATATACATATATACATATATACATATATACATATATATATATATGTGTACACACTACAAAAGAAACCAGGCTCGTCACTGTACTGTTGAACGTCTTTTCATTTCTGCATTCCGCTTAAGATTGCATGTGCATTTATGCTTGCACGTGCATGTATAGATTCATTATACTCTGTGCTATTCAACTAGGTTCCTTATGGTAGCCTCAACAGACATTGATGTCATGCTTGGCTGCTAGACCATGTACGTGTGCGGTTGGTCTCTCTCTGCCTGTCCGTCTCTCTGTCCCTGTGTCTCTGTGTCTCCACCTCTCTGTCTGTCTGCCTGCATGCATGCCCGCCTGCATTCATGCCTGCCTGCCCGCCTGCGTGTCCGTCTATCTCTGTGTCGGTCTCTGTCTGTCTGTCTGTCTATCTCTCGGTGTGTCTGTCTCTCTGCCTGTCTGTCTCTGTCTCTGTCTCTGTCTGTCTCTGTCTCCGTCTCCGTCTCTGTCTCCGTCTCAGTCTCAGCCCCTGTCTCTGTCTCTCTCTGTCTCTCTCTGTCTCTCTCTGTCTCTCGCTGTCTCTCTCTGTCTCTCTCTGTCTCTCTCTGTCTCTCTCTGTCTCTCTCTGTCTCTCTGTGTCTCTCTGTCGCTGTCTGTCTCTGTCTCTGTCTCTGTCTCTGTATCTGTATCTGTATCTGTATCTGTATCTGTGTCTGTCTGTCCGCCTCTCTGTGGGCGTCTATTTGTGCGTATTCTGGCCCCAACAGAACAGTCACCAACTAACCAACTAACAAACAATAATCACAGGAATACTATGAACCCGTCCCCCCCCTCCCTCGTTCTCTTCCCGCCCCTCCCCGTCCCCCCCGGGGAGTTCCTACTCCGGAAGAATTAACCCCCCCCACCCCTGTGCTAGCGGCTCGGTCTCCTAGGTAAACCCTAAACAGTTAAGGTCTATGCCTTTATCGGTGGTTAACCCACAGCTATGTATACATACATACATACATACATGCATACATGCACACATGCATGCACGTGTTCATGTACATATACATATACAGTATACAGTAGGCTTCAGTCTGCAGTGTGCAGTGTATAGCGTACATATGGATATACATGTACATATACATATATACATCGACAATGACATAGACATAGACATCGACATAGACATACACATATACATATACACAAACAGAGGTAGAGTACACACAATCAAAACATAAAAAATTACCACTAAGCCAACCGACCAAACAATCAATCAATCAGTCTATCAATCACTAAATCAGCTAATTCGTCTCTTTGTCTGTCTACCAATCCGTATACCTATCCACCTTATCTTTTCGCGCGTGTTGCCACTTCCCGTTGCGGCGCGCCTCTCTTTCCGAAGCTTGGAGAAGCCTTGGCGCACCCCAAAGGTTCGGAGATTGTGCATGCTCCTGCAGCCGACAGAGAATTTTGGGGGACTTGGGACTACAAGTCTGGGGCATAGGCAAAGAACCACGATGAGAGCTTCTCGTAAGCGGGAACCAGGGATTCGATCATGAAGGCTTTGGGGGGCTGGCAGTATGAAGTGTATGACCCGGCGTCGAAGACCTGCTGCTATGCGTGTGAGTTGGAGGCCTAAACTCCAAGATGATAGGTTGATAAGTGATAAGATGACAAGATGACGTCGATTGAGCATGATGCCGATTCTATATGCAGGTGATGAATACCATGGCAGCCAGTGAGAACAACTGGCATTAACAGCAATAACAACCAAGGCCGCAAAAGTTGCAGACATCAAGGTCATTGACAACAGCATTCATAGCAACAAAAAGACGAAGACTAGGGACAACTGTTAAAACAACGACAACCACCCCAACAACGCAACCAGCAGGACAGCGGCGATGAGGATAGTGGTGTCAACAATGAAACCAGCGCCAGTAACTGTAAGAATGGGAAGAATACTGTAGAAGCACATGTAGATGAGCGACCATGTAACAAACGAAAGAATATACAACTCCAAACCCTGAACACCAGTCCTGTCAGGGGCGTCTTCCGCCTCAAACTGCTCATTGAAGAGGACGTCAATTCGGTCTCTCGTCACTTCGGAGAGTCGGGAGCCTGCTCGGACTCGCGACACCACGGGAGCTTGTAGGGCCCTTTCTTTCTTTCAGGCAGGCTGAAGGTCCAAGGGACGTGCCTAAAGCATCTGTACATCAAGTGAATTCAACAGTGAAACATCGGTGTGGCTCAAGGTCTTCAGCTTCCCCCTGCAGGCTACAGAGCCAGGTGGCAAGAGGCTCGAGAGCATGACGAGGCATGGGGAAGGTGAGGCCGACAGGTCGACCGAGCCGAGCGAAGGCAAGCAACGCTCCAAGTACGGCAAGCACCGAGTCAGTCCAGTCCCTGAGCTGATTGAGCACCTTAAGAGGGCAGGCAGAGGGAGAGAAGACTAACGAGCAGCCGGCCGGGGGCGGAGGGAACTCCACGAAGACACCAGCGGCCCCAACTGGTAGGCCAGTGTGCAGTTCACCAAAAGGCCACAACACCGGGGCGGCGACCAAGGAGGGGAAGGCGCGCGCCCAAGTCAGGGCAGAGGACAAACCTCCAACGTATGTCATGAACCCTTCGACAGGAGGTGAGGCAAGAGACAAAGGTGCGACGTAAGGGAGGTAAGATTCCTCTGAGGCCTTGGCAAGCAAAGGCCCACCCGCGATAGAATCACACTGGTGCTCCGGGTGCAGAACAAGAAGCACATCCTTGGCAGCATCGACCACGGCTGAGTCCAGGGCAGAATCTAGCCAAGAAGTCAAGGTGTTCCGCAACACAGGGGGAGGTGCCATAAAGGAGGCAACCGTATCAAAGATCTGCTAATCGGTCACGTGACCGGCAGCGCCCAAATCCACAAGGGCGGTTGTAGGGCCCTTAATAATTCGAACCAGGGTTTTGGGTCTTTGCCGACTTTTTGCCATTGCTGTACCGCTAGACTCTATACACTACAAGGGCGCAATACTGAAAATTGTCCGAGCAGAGGGGTGAGACACTGTGGAACTGTTACAATAAGAGTGAAGAAGGTGTCTTTAGAATCACTGCGAAGCGCCAGCTCGAACCGAATTATTTCCACAGACCGGCATGCCATCTCGGCCCCGCCATGTCGTCCCGAGACGTGCGATTCAGTATAAATTCCATACTTGGGGTCGGAGCGCTGAACATGGTGCTGGCGTGGCCAGGCTATTCGGCCTCTCGGGCTCGTCCGTTGGTCCTCCAATCCCACCAGTACGTGGGTGGTGTCCTCAAAACGCGAGAGCCTCAAAATCCTAGCAGTGCCCTCAAAAAGATCGATGCCGCACTGTTGGTGGTGGTGGTGGTGGTGGGAAGTGCTGCTGGTGCCGGTGATAGGGGTTCTCGTGGTGGTCGTGGTCATCGTGGTGCCCACGGATGTTGTCATGGAGGTCCTGGTCGTCTTTGGTTGTCCCGGTCGTCGTGGTCGTGGTGGTCTTGAAATGATCGTCGTCGTCTTGGTATCTTCCGGTGTACATGGCACTTGCATTCCAGTGTTTGGGCCTCTACACTGGCATCATCATTGTGTAGCGCTTTTGTCACCATCTGCAGGCGTGCATTTCAACACACCACAACGGCTTGGTTTCATGCCAGTCTGTCATTGCAAGCTGCTTCGAAGCTTCTCGAAGCTTCGCGACTTCCGCAAAGTCCCGTGTAGACAGTTTGGGAGGCGTGTTTGTTACGGGTGCTTTTCCAAGCCATGAAGAAGTCCGCGGCTTCAACCCAGAGACCTCCTTGAAGCTATGAAGCCAGAGACCGAAAAATCGGCCCGCCCATCAGATCTTACGTCCTTAAATGCTGCAAAATCAGACAAGCCGAATCCCACCCTCGAAGCAACTCATACAAAACGTAGCTAAATCCTTGCCCTTGCCGTTTGGCCAACCCCACCCAACCGGCCGCAGCGTTCGGGTGTAAGTGAGGAACCAAGCGCAAAAGAACACTCAACACCCCAACCTCCTGTAGTCACGTCCTCGTCCAAAACCCCAACTCAAGCAACAAGCTTTTGGGCCTGGGGGTGATTTACCAGGAAGACAAGCTCCAAACACACGAGAAAGAAAGGAACCCTTGAGACCTGAACTGTGTCGCCTGGCCTCTTTGCATCGGCGGCGGAAGCAGAGACAGCAGCTCCAGGGTACTCGTCCACGCCTGCATAGGGACAACGGGATTTGGGGGCTTCCATGCATGCTCTTCCGGCACAAGGGTTTATACTGTATTATCATACATTATCTTATATCACATTATATTATGTTACGTTAGGTCTCGGGCATAGAAATCTTAGACAAGCTCTCCTGCGCCATTGTTCTCACATTCGGTGTAAGCTGGGCTTCCAAGGAAAGAGTTTCTTCGCTCGTAGCGAAGTTCTTAGCGGTCTTGACAAGTGTCTCAGTGTACGGACTCAGGCTGGAAATCTAAGGTGCTGCTGACAGAGAGGGAGTATAAAAAAATCTCGTAAACGTAGATAGGCAAAGTCGCATCTTCAGTACCGCGGGAGTCCGTGTGCCCATTGGAAGATGCAATCTCGGGTCTCTGGCTTCGCACTAATTCTGTCAAGCTCTGGAACCAAACTACACAGAGGACGGTGCAATCACTACCAGATAAGATGCGAAAATGATGCTTTCCGAGACACTGAAGCCGAGAGACCACGATTGACAACTCCCTTCTGAAAAACAACCAGGGCTCTATTGAAGGGTTGACACAGACCTACCCACCCAACCCACACAGCACCCCGGCCCCTCCGATGGCGCATGCGCAGGCAGCGCCGGTGCAAGTGATCTGGTCCGGCTCCAGGCTGCGGCGGAACATGGGGAAGGGCCGGCGAGGGACTACAGTACTAGCAGTACTGGCACTGCCAATTCCACTGCCACAGTTGCTGCTGATGCTTCTACTTTTAGGATTGAAGAGCAGCTGCAAATATCCACGCTTGATTGTTGCTCGTGGCCGGAGTGGCAGAAGAAGAGGGACGCGAACCGAAGTTTTCCTGGACCCAACACCATGGTAGCTTTCCAAACTCGACGCGCCTTTCCTTGATGAGGCTCCCAAACCTCGATGCGAGTGATCTCAAACATTGTAGGGTCGAGGCCCGAGGCCAGAGATCCGAAAACCCTCACCCTCATAGCCCTGAGCCCCAAAACCAAGGCCATGCGCTTCAAAAAGAAAGCATCTACTCTCCTTACAGCGTTCTTGCGGAGGTGCGATTCCTCGAAGGATCTTCGGGTGCAGGGTTAAGAGGTGTGCCTGAGGCTCTGATGCTTCAGGTTCAGGATTCAATGTCTGGGCCAGGGGTGGGTAATTCAAACGTGGGCTCAGTATTTGCACTGAACGTAGAACTCCCACGAACACTAGTTGAGTGCAGAGGGTATCACTTCCGGTCAACACGCTTAAGGACCAAAACGCAACGACGAAAACGACGCGAACAACGGACGGGGATGGATACCCTCCGATAGCAACAGGGGGGTCGCTCCCGAACTCACCAAACACCGACACTGTCGCTCTCCCGTGAGCCCTTCCCTGCCCCCTGCAATGGACGCTCGTCGGACTGCGAGGCGCTAGAGGGATCTATCGTATTAGCAGAAGCCAGCGCAATCCGCAGACCTCAGGCCGGCGAATACTACCAGTTTAGGCTTAGCATTTAGGGTCTACTACCCGCAAAAAACTGCTTGTTTTCATTACTGCCACTGCTCCAGTGCAAGCACCATTGGTCACGGCAGCACCAGTCAACCCAAATCCTGACAATGCCTGCGACCGCTGACAACCATGAGACGCAAGAAGTGCCAGCAACTCAGAATACATGGAGGGTTCAGGAATGAAGGCCCCAAATCCCGAACGGAGCTCCAGCCTTACAAACAGAAGTAACGTCTGGGTTGATAGTTCCTTCTGCTGTGCACCTAGTGGTAGCACAGTGCTCCTGTTTTTAGTCCGCGCAACTGTAGTCCGTGAAGCGCCCCCTCCCCACAGCAGACCGAGACTGAGGAGTATCATCCGCGCTTCGCCGAGAATTCTGAACTCGCAGCGCGCTCTGCACTGTTCTTGGTACTCTGCGGACGCTGAGCTGCAATCTTGAAGGAACCGCGGCAGTGCTGGCAGACCCTCGCAGACCCTCGCAGGCTTCAGTGACATAGGGGCCTAAAATAATTACCAATACTATGTTTGGGGGTTCCTTATCATAATTATGGTACAATGGGTCCCAAAACCCTATTCTAATTGTTAAGGACCTTGTATTATGGTACACTTATAGATCCCTTATAGTAGCCCCTATAGACCTCTTCAAAGGAACCCCAATCAATTACTAAGGCCTCTACCGGCCGCAGCTGAGGGCGCCGCATCCAGAGAGCCAGGTTCCAAGTTTTCCCGTCGATGCAGGCGGTGATGGCAGACTTCGGCGATTCAGGGGTTTAGGGTTTATGGGGTTTAGGTGTTTAGGGTTTAGGGTTTAGGGTTTAGGGGGGAATCATAGATTCATGGCTTCTAGGGACTCAGATTGTCGTAGAGATTGCGGGATTCGAAGATTCAAGGGTTTTTGGGCTTGACGCGAGAACGGATCCTCGGCTTCAATCGTGACATGAAGGGGTAGCTGTCAGGGTGCACCGGCAGCCGTTGCTTCTATAAGATGTTGTGCCAGCTGTTCACAAACATGGCATGCACATGCAATGCCACCTTTCCGAGCTGAGTTCCCTTATCCAAAAGGCTTCTGCTCACGGTTGTCGTCGAAGTTTATGGACCCAAAGATCTGGAGCCCTACTCAGACACCAAGTGCCCTGACCCCCATAGCATTATTATATTCAGGCCCTTGTGGAACCCCAACGCCCCAAGTGCTTTAGGCCCTTTGGGCCCCCGGGCATTGAAGGTGGTGCGGTCGAAGCTCGGCTCGGGAAGCTGGCGGTTTGGGGAGTAGTGCATAACCATGCTCAGTAATGCAGAACACTACATTTATACAGATATATATATATATATATATGTATGCATAGAGGTACTATTGTGTAATGATGCTATTCTCGAGTCTAGGAGTTTAGGAGTCTTGGACTTTACAGGCTTGGGGGAGTCTAGGACTAAGAGTTCAAGGTTTTTGGTCAAACGGGCGGGTACGACCTAAGCAGGTCTGGGTGGGAGTGTGAGGAAAGGTTTCTGCAGCTTGGGATGAAAGTTGAAGATGTGACTGGGGGGTGCAGACGTCTCATAGTCGTAATCGCAAAGTCGCAGCAGTCGTTTAGTTGCTTTGTCGGACAATCGATGGCGATGTAGTTATGTAGCCGTACAGTGGTATGCATAAATTCGTATGGCTGTTTTGCCTTATGGTGTTTTACTCGCTTTGCCGTACAGTTTTCGTCCGAGTAGTGGTGGTCGTAGTGGTCCCAGCTGTAGCAGTAGCAATAGCAGTTGGACGAGGAGGAGTAGTAGTAGTAGCAGTAGTAGTAGTAGTAGTAGCAGCAGTAGTAGTAGTAGTAGCAGCAGTAGCAGGAGCAGGAGCAGGAGCAGTAGCAGTCATCGTCGTCATCGTAGTGGTAGTCAAAATGGTAGTCTGGTAGTGGTAGTGGCAGTATTGTGGTTGTTGTTGTTGTGGTTGTGGTTCTGTTTCTGGCTCTGGCAGCCCTTGTGCTCGTGCTCGTGCTTGTGTGCATGTGCTTGGGCTTGCGCTTGCGGTTGCGCTTGCGCTGGCCGTTGCACTTGTGCTTCTGCTTGTGCTTGTGAAAGTTAGTGTTGTTGTTGCTGCTGTTCTTGAGTTTTGGAGCTCGGGTGGAGTCCGGGATATTTGGAGGCGAAAGAGCTGAGGAAAGGCTCACGGGCCCCAAACCTCCATCCCAGACTGGGAGGAGTGTACGGTTTGCAGCATCCCGACTTCATACTAACGGCTGACACTCGCCGACTCAAGCTTTTCCTTCGCAGGAAAGCCTAGTCCTGTGGCCAGCTCGATTAGCCAGCGTCAAGGGACGGCACTCTTCTCCCCTCTGTCTCACAAGGTCGGGGCAACGGCTTCCTCACCCTGAGAACTGGAGACTTCGGGGCAAGGGCGCGGAGGGCGTTAACACAGCGTCGGAACGCGTTTCGTTATCAGGCCAAGTTAGGCCAGCGACTGCTACTACATCCTGTACAAGCATGAAGGGCCGCTCTGAAATCCAAAAGGTCCGTCGATGAAGTCGGTGTAGCGTCAGTACAGCCGCAAGATGTGGTGCTGGATCTGCCGCATTGACCTGCAGCCACCCCACAGACGACAACATCGGGGTCGAGCCTATAAGGCCTAGGAAGAAGGGAGGCCTCAAAAAGCTCAGAGTTGTTTTGAGGTGTCGGATTTAGGGTTTACGGGACACTGCTTCCTTCATTTAGCCAAACCTTCGCCAAAAACTCGGCACTGCTTTGAGCCCTCTGAGCAACCCGACAGCAGCATTGCGTCGCAGGAAGCCAGCAGAATCGACAGCTGGCACAAGGGATCGTCCTGGTTCAGCAAGCATGGCACGATGCTGATGTCAACCACATGGGTAGTTGTCAAAATTAGGGTCCCTTGTTGGGTCCTTATTGTAATACGGCAGCTAATATTTAGGGTACCCAAAAGGGACCATAATTTTGACAACGACCCATATCTGTAACCCAAGTAACCCAAAGGATGGCCGCGGATTATGCACAAACTCCCGTGCGGGTTCTGTTGCGGGGGCGGGTTTGCGTCGGGTATGTTGCGGGCTTCGTGTGCTTATGTGCCGGGAAGACAGCTTCATCTGTGAGTTTTTGGCTAGTACGTATTCTGATGTTTTCTGTGTCGTGATTACGCTCACTATGAAACTAAGTCGTGTGCTGCCCTGAGCCTTGCTGGTGCCGCTGTGATTGCTGCAAATGCCGACAACGGCAAAGACTTGACAAGCGCAAACTGCGCAATGCGCAAGATAGCCAAAATGCGATTTCACGAAGAGAGAAACATACCACTCTCGCTTTGTGAACTTACGATGAAGTTGCAACCGAAGCCCTACGACAGTATCTGACGTCGGATTCGGTGCAAAAACAACGAAAGTGAAAGACAAACGGAATCGTCGGCCGTGCAGAGCGGAACATGTGCGACAAGGCGACGACCTCGCGCAGGACGGTGGTGTCCATGCCACGGAGTGGCTGTGGTGAGGCAAACGCATGCAAACAAGAGCAAAAACCACCCCGCAACTGAACCCGTTAGGACGAATTCTGCTGCAGCTGAGCTCAGCCGTGCCCCGAGACCGAAATCCTGAAGTTTGACCCATGGAGCTTTCAAAGCTTATGTCTGGCACTCCTGTGCATCAAGTGCTCCCAAGGCGCCCGGAAGCTCTTGACCCCCTCCCGCGCACGCGCAAGTTCGCTCCCGGACCGGAGGAGGACCTCGCACGGGTGGAGATCTCTGTGATGCCATGCATGTTATGAGGCTGCTTACCATCGTCATCTTGATACGTACTGTGATTTTCTTGTGACTTCCAGGACTTCAGGGTTTTCGGTGGGGATGCGAAGGAGCAGCGATGAAAACGGATCGTGATGAAGGGGTCCAGTCTTACTGAAACCCCTAAACCCTCAGCCTGAACCGTGCCATCCTGTTTCAGGGATAAAGAGAATGTACGAGGATACCCTTTTCGATGCTACTTTCCTACGGTTAGCCTGTTATTTCCTGCAGGGGACCTTTAAGGGCTTCAGCGTCTCCGGGCTCCGGGCTTGCTTTCGGTTTTGAAGCTCCGACGCAAGGGTCTTTCGTTTTTGCTACGGTGCACACTCTTCTTCTGGACCCCCTCAGTGTGTAAGGAGTTTGGTGCTTTAGGAAGCAGAACTCTGATTGAAAGGCTCTAGGCTTTAAGAATTACTGAGAGCTGCAGGCTTAAGAGGGCTGTCCGGAGGGTTCGTCAATAGCTGAGTGGTAGCATCATGGCGATGTTGATGCCCATGTTGATGGTGGTGATGGGGGTGATGGTGGTGATGATGGTGATGATGGTGATGATGGTGATGATGGTGATGATGGTGATGATGGTGTTGATGGCGATGACGGTGATGACGGTGATGCTGACGATGATGACGATGCTGATGGTGATGGTGATGGTGACGGTAACGTAGTGCTGCTTCCTTGAGAGGCCGTCCATGCACAAGCATGCGATGTAATAGTGCCCGCTAGACCGGATCTTCTGGCTGCGTGAGAAGAAGCAAGTAACGGTAGCGACAATGGTAATGGCAATGGTAATGCTAATCGTAACGATAGAGGTGGTGGTAGTGGTAGTGGTTGTGGTGGTGGTGGCGGTTGCGGTGGCGGTGCCGCTGGCGGTGGCGCTGGCGGTGGCGCTGGCGCTGGCGCTGGCGCTGGCGCTGGCGCTGGCGCTGGCGCTGGCGCTGGTGCTGGTGCTGGTGCTGGTGCTGGTGCTGGTGCTGGTGCTGGTGCTGGTGCTGGTGGCGGCCGTGGCGGTGGCGGTGGCGGTGGCGGTGGCGGTGGCGGTGGCGCTGGCGGTGGCGCTGGCGGTGGCGCTGGTGGCCGTGGCGGTGGCGGTGGCGGTGGCGGTGGCGGTGGCGGTGGCGGTGGCGGTGGCGGCGGCGGCGGCGGCGGCGTTGGTGGTGCTGACAATGATGGTGGCGATAGCAACAATAGTGGTGATCGTAGTAATAGTGATAGTTGCGGTTGGTGGAATGATAAGATGACTAGGTACATTAAACACAGCAAGCCTGTGCGAATAAAGACCCTAAGTTAAGCCGAAACCCTGCAAATTCCGAAAGCCGAACCTCCCACACAGGCCCAGCAAGAGTCACAAGAGGCCCCCCAAACCCCAAAACCCGGCCTCCCTACGAAGGAAGTTCGGGAGACCGATCGCCTCCTCCCCGGCAAAGTTTGGATCGACGGTTTAGGTTTAGGCTTTCTTGGGTTCGGGATTTATTTCGGAGAAGTTGCAATTCAGTCAAGTGGATAAGGTTCCAGGCTCATGAATTTCGGGACCGTCGGTAGACGGCATTGAGGCTGACACATTCAGGGTTCACTAGGTTCAGGGTTCATGCTGTGATGCCTTTCATTCGAATACGGAGTTTGGGGCCCAAGAAACGTCAAGCAGGCCAAGCCATGCGAGATTTCGCAAATATCACGGATGCTCACCAAAACGCTGCAACATCCCTAAGCATCTCCGTCAGCACGGCGCTCTGGATGCGCCACTGCTCCTCCCGAAAGTCGGTGTAAGCTGCCTGGCATGGAGACAAACACTGAAGCCGGAATCCTCAAACTCAGGCCATGTATGCCAGGTCTCCACTCCGACATGCTCACCAGCAGCACGAAGCGAAAAGAACCCAAACCCAATCCATGGCCTTGTCATCCAAGGCGGTCCACCTCGTGCATGTCTCGTGGGTAAAGACCTCACGCTCTTGGGCATGGAGTGTTTGCATCAGTGGAGTGTCTGGTGCCCCGCCTGGCGCGCTTTCGAAAACTAAGTAAACCCGAAGACACAGTCAGGTTACGGACACCAGCTTCGGCTGAAGCCGCATTCCGGTTTACGATTCAGGGCATTCCGCATGTGTGGCTTTTTCGGCACAGAATTCGCAACTGCCCTTCCACGAGTTACCCGGAGTTGCACCCACATGCACACATGTCTCACTAACGCGCCCGAGAACCTTCTGGAGCGGTGCGCTCTTTAAAGAGGGGACTAGATTTCCTGATTTGCTGTCTGCAACGGGGTTCTCACCCAAGTGAAGTGTCTGCGTGCGGCTGAACAAGGCTATGCCTACGATTGCCTACGCGGTTGGCTTCTAGCAGGTCCAAGGACTCGCTGCAAGGTTCATCAAAATGGTGATCTTCCGAATTCTTGCGGGAAGGGAGACAGGACCATGAACCCCCCGATACAGAACAAGGGCACGTCCAAGAAAAAGTCAGACTCCCGAACCCCAAGAATCACACAGTTCGAAGTGGTTTG